TCTGGAGGAGGTGTGTGTGCGGGGTGTCTGGAGAAGGTGTGTGTGCAGGGTGTCTGGAGGAGGTGTGTGTGCGGGGTGTCTGGAGGAGGTGTGTGCGGGGTGTCTGGAGAAGGTGTGTGTGCGGGGTGTCTGGAGAAGGTGTGTGTGGGGGTGTATGTGTCTGGTGTGTGTGCGGGGTGTCTGGAGGAGGTGTGTGTGTGCGGGGTGTCTGGAGGAGGTGTGTGCGCGCGGGGTGTCTGGAGGAGGTGTGTGCGCGCGGGGTGTCTGGAGGAGGTGTGTGCGCGCGGGGTGTCTGGAGGAGGTGTGTGCGCGCGGGGTGTCTGGAGGAGGTGTGTGCGCGCGGGGTGTCTGGAGGAGGTGTGTGCGCGCGGGGTGTCTGGAGGAGGTGTGTGCGTGCGGGGTGTCTGGAGGAGGTGTGTGCGTGCGGGGTGTCTGGAGGAGGTGTGTGCGCGGGGTGTCTGGAGGAGGTGTGTGCGCGGGGTGTCTGGAGGAGGTGTGTGCGCGGGGTGTCTGGAGGAGGTGTGTGCGCGGGGTGTCTGGAGGAGGTGTGTGCGCGGGGTGTCTGGAGGAGGTGTGTGCGCGGGGTGTCTGGAGGAGGTGTGTGTGCGGGGTGTCTGGAGGAGGTGTGTGCGCGGGGTGTCTGGAGGAGGTGTGTGTGCGTGTGTGTGAGTACCAGGGCCTGGGACCTGATGTAGCCGCAGGGTTGGGGGAGAGGCTGAGGAGGCTCCCTTCAGGAGAGGCCACCCCAGCATCACGAGCCCACCCTATTGCAGGGACGAGGGCCCGGGGTCCTCGAGTGGGGTGGAGCCCCTCTGTGGCACACTGGGGGGCTTAAGCCAGTGATGGACAGCTCAGGTGCGGTCAGCCCTGCGGGTGCGTGCTTCCCGACGCCAGGGAGAAGGCGGATGCAGGCTGGGGCGCAGTCATCTGAGGACGGGGTGTTTGGGCCTGGAGGCGGCAGGGGCGGCGCTGGGAGGGGACCCAGGGACGGGGCTCGGGCCACAGCGCGGGCGGAGCGGGCTGCGGCAGAGGACGCCGGCCAACCCCAGCTGCGGTGGGAGGACTGTCAGCTTACTCTGCTGGCCCCAGAGGGTTTAAAGGGATCCCGAGGAGTCAGATGCGTCCTGCGGCAAGGCCACGAGAGCACAGGGGCGGCGGGAGTCCCCCGCATCCACGTCGCTAACGCGCACTAAAGCACCGCTGGGAACCGAACACCTGCCGGCTCCGCGCAGCCGCAGAGGAGGCGGGGCGCCCGGAGGCCACGCCTCGTATGCTAATATTGGTACCTCCCCGGCGGCCGGACGAGCCCAACGCCTTGCGGTCGCGGGGGCCGAGCGCGCCCGTCGGCGGACCGGAGAGGCCGCGGCCGGACGGGGCCCGGCAGACGTCCCGATCCCGACGGGCGGGCTGGCGGCGCGGTCCCGGGGCCGGCGGCGGCTTCCCGACGCCCGGGCTCTCCGCCTCCCTCCCCGCCGGCGCCAAGTGGTGCGGCCCGCAGGGGCGGGGCCCGGGTCATGTGACGCAGCCGCGGCCGCCATTTTGTTCTGCGGTGCTGGTATTTAGAGCGCAGCGGCTGACGAGCCGGGTCGCCTTCCCCGCCGCCTGTCCGCCTGCTTCCGCGCCCGCCTGCCGCGCCGCCCGCGCCCCGCCTCGGTCCGCTGAGCTCGCCCCCTGCCCACCCGCAGACATGTCCGAGGCCAAGAACAGCCCCGAGTATGCCGCGTTTTTCGCCGTCATGGGCGCCTCGTCCGCCATGATCTTCAGCGGTGAGCGCCGCGGCAGGGGGACCCCGGGGTCGGCGAGCAGGGGGCGTCGGGGGCGTCTGCGGGGCTTCGAGCCCGCGGCTCGCCGGGGTCCGGCGCGTGACGTCACCCTGACGCAATCCCGAGCTCACGTGACGGCGGGCTGGGCCGGGTGCGGGGTCCGGTGCCCGCAGCTTGCCCGCCGGGCCGCGTCGTGCGGGGGTGGGGCGGCGGCACTGCTGCCATCTTAGCCCCGGGAGGCGACAGGGAGGCTGGGTGGGGGGCGCGGGGGACGGCGCGCCGTCCTGCGCCTGCTCCGCACGTCGGGGTTTGGGGGCAGGTGTGACATCACACCTCGGACAGCTCCTGGCCCGGGGGGGGGCCTGAGCGTGCCCTGTGGAGGGGGTCCCCAGCAGCTGCCCCGGTGAAGGTGGGCGGCTTGGGCGTCGGGGTTCAGGTGTCTGGACCCCGGGCAGGTGCTTCCGGTTAGGGCTTGTCTGGGTTTCCCAATCCTGTCGTCTGTGTGGGTTGTTGGGACAGCTCAGCGAGGGCCCGCGCCTGTGGGGACCGAGGAGTGGGGCTGTGCGAGGGGTGCTTGGAGGAGGGTGGCCCCGGGTGGGGGGCTGTCAGCATGGCCCCGGGAGGGAGGCGGGCCTTGTGGACCTAATGAATGGATACGGAGTGAATGACCTTCTGGAGTGGGGGCAGGGAGAAGGGCCCTCCCAGGATCCTCACTGGAGCTGGAGGGAAAGCCGGAGGGAAAGTGTCCAGCCCAGGCCCAGGAATGTGGGGTTGGGAAGGTAAGTTCTGGCCCGACCACAGCCCCTCTGGACTGGTCTGGCCTGGTCTGGACCTTGTGGCTGCCTTTTGCCTTCAGTGGCCCCGCCCAGCCCCACCCCACCCCACCCTTACCTGGTGGAGCCCAGAGGCTGCCCGCGCAGGTATGTGGAGGGTTTGAACCCCAAACAGTGTCTGCTGACAGTAAACAGCTGTGGGTGGCGGCATACGGTTCTGGGGGGCCTGGCCCTGCCTGGGCCTGCCTGGCAGTCACGGGATGCTGAGTGAGCAAGGGGTCATTTGCGGTGGGACCCGATGGTCTAAACTTCCCCTTCCCTCCTGGGCCGCGCCTGCTGTCTGCACACCTTCACAGCTCGCCCGCCAAGAGCGCCTCTGCAAATTCTGCTGCTGACCACCAGCGCGTGGTCCCTGCTGTGGCTGCCGGTCTTTCAGCCGGGGCGCCGGTGCTGGGGCCCCAGCCACCCCACCGGGAAGCCTTCTGCAGCTCCCTTGGTGTCAGTAGCCTGCCTGTGGGGCTCTCCGGCAGGACCCTGAGGGCAGTGGAGGCCGGCCCTCTCCGGGGCTGTGGGCCCCTTCGGACCCTGGCCCACGCCTGGCTGTTCTCCTGCCCTGCCCCCACGCTGCCCTGTCTTCCAGCTTCCCCTTTCTCCCATGACAAACAGCCAGTTGATTGTTTCTTCATCATGTCTTCCACAAAGCTGTCACTGGCTCCTTTTCCATGCTGACCCACTTCCTCCCTGGGTGGGACACTCAGGCCCTGGGCTGCCCCGCCCTGGCCCTTCTCATCTGCCCTCGTGGCTCCGGTCTCCCCTGTCTGGCTGCCTTCTGATGTCTGCGGCCTTCCTGGCCTGGGCTGCTTCCCCCCACCCCGGCATGGCCACATGACCTCTGCTTTCCTCGGGAACCGGCCCAGTTCCCTTGCTGCGTCCCAGGATTACTCCAGCGGGTGCCGAGTCTGCTAGGCTGTCGCTCACCCAGGACACCTGCAAGCCTGTGCTCTGTACTGCTGACAGTCCCCTGGTGGGAGCCCTGGCATGCTGAGCTCCACACAAGGCCCCATCGTGACGAGCCAAGTTCCAGATGTCGGTGCTGCAAGACCACGGCCTTGTGCCTTGCACCCCGTCATATGCTCAGCCTTCCCCCAGTTGACAGTGTGAGGCACACCCCCATGCTGCTGTGCCTGGCAGGCACCACTCTTGTCCTTCTCTGGGCTCTGCACCTGACATGGCAGAGCTCCAGCCTCACCCTGCCCAGCCCAGGGCACGAACAGGATCCTGGGTGTGTAGGGATGGCCAGGGGTGGTCTGTCTTCAGCAGGTCAAAGTGGGGACAGCAGGCCGCTGGCAGGGGGGAAGCCAGGGGACCCTTCTCAGCACCTGTGCTGTGTTTTCCGGGCCATTGCTTTACTTCAAGACCTGGGCTGGGGGGAGCCCACCAGGAGGGCTGGCAGCCTCCTGGGGCCGTGGTCAGGCTGTGATGGCTCCAGCCTGCTTTCTCTGGCTGGCCCGTCCTCTGTCCCGTTAGGTGTCCAGGGCCTGTGGGGCCAGGCACACATTCACACGTCCTCAGCACTGGGGTTAGACCTGGGCAAGTGGGGGAGCAGGTCGGGGCACTCACCAGGGGCCCGGGACTTGGCAGGTCACAGCCTTGGCAGCCCATGCCATCTGGCATGGGGTGACTCTCCTGGATGCTGTCCCTGAGTGCTTGGGACACGCGGTGGGACAGAAAGTGCCCAATCTGAGGCCTCATGGCCATGACTGATGTCGTGGGCCACTGTCCTGGGGGTTCTGAGGACTGTGTCACAGGCTGGGGTTCCCTAGCAGAAGGGACTCTGGGGGTGCGGGTTGCACTTCCCCAGGGTCCTGTCCCCAGGTGAGTGGTGGGCAGCTGTGGGCTGACCCTGCCTCCCTCCCACAGCCCTGGGTGCTGCCTATGGCACGGCCAAGAGTGGCACTGGCATCGCCGCCATGTCCGTCATGCGGCCAGAGATGGTCATGCGGTCCATCATCCCCGTGGTCATGGCCGGCATCATCGCCATCTACGGCCTGGTGGTGGCCGTGCTCATCGCCAACTCCCTCACCGACGACATCACCCTCTACAGGTGACGGCCGGCCGCGGGTGGGGCTGCGGGCGGGGCTGCGGGCGAGCCTGGCCTCGTGCTGACCCCGGCGCTGACCCCCGTCCCGTCCTTTCCCCAGGAGCTTCCTCCAGCTGGGCGCCGGCCTGAGTGTGGGCCTGAGCGGCCTGGCTTCGGGCTTTGCCATCGGCATTGTCGGGGACGCCGGCGTGCGGGGCACTGCCCAGCAGCCCCGGCTGTTTGTGGGCATGATTCTGATCCTCATCTTCGCCGAGGTGCTCGGCCTCTACGGCCTCATCGTGGCCCTCATCCTGTCCACAAAGTAGCCCCCGAGCCGCCAGCCCGCGGATGACGTGACGGAAAGACCACCACCCTCATTCCAGAATGAACAACCCGACACATGCAGCTGCCCCCTCAGTAGTTGGTCTTGTAAATGCGCAGTGTCCTAGTGCCCATCGTCTGTTGTCCCGCCCCGCCCCCCGTGCTGTGGACACCCAGGCCCCGCGCATCCGCCCTCGAGTGCTGTGTTTGAGGATCATCTGCAGTTGTCATTTCTCTCCACTGGATGTTATTTATAAAGATTTGACCCGTTCACACGTGCGTGGAGCAGCCCTGCCTCCCAGCTCTAGTAACCTTAGCTCGTGTCGCCTCGTGGGGCCTGTCCGCCGGCACTGGCGTGGGGGAGCCCACCCGCCGGCCGCGCTCCTGGCCGGGGGCCGCGGGCCGAGCCTGCCCGGGCCGGCGCTGTGTCCAATAAAGCTCTCGGATGTGACTGGAGCCCGTGTCCGGACGGCTGGTGTGGGCGCGGGGCGGGCGGGAGCCGTCAGCGGGTCACGTGCCGCGGCGGTCACGTGGCCGGGGCCGTCAGCTGAGGGTCACGTGGCGCGGCTGTGGCGGCTCACCATGCGCGGCGGGCAGGGCGCGGCGCGGGCTCCGGTGCTCCAGTTCACCAACTGCCGCATCCTGCGCGGCGGGGCGCTGCTCAGGTGGGCGTGCGGGGCCGCGGGGGGCGGGCGGCTGGGGGCGGCCCGCGATGCCAGCGCCGCGGCTCGGTCCGCAGGGAGGACCTCTGGGTGCGCGGGGGCCGCATCCTGGACCCGGAGAAGCTGTTCTTTGAGGAGCGGCGCGTGGCGGACGAGCAGCGGGACTGCGGAGGACGCATTCTGGCGCCGGGATTCATCGACGTGCAGATTAACGGTGGGGCCCGGGGCGGGGCGCCAGGCCGGAGCGGGGGAGCGCCCTGAGCGCCCCGCGACCCTTTCCGTCCTGTGGCCGCAGGTGGGTTTGGTGTGGACTTCTCTCAGGCCACGGAGGACGCGGGCGCGGGGGTGGCCCTGGTGGCCCGGAGGATCCTGTCGCACGGCGTCACCTCCTTCTGCCCCACCCTGGTCACTTCCCCGCCGGAGGTCTACCACCAGGTGAGGTCAGGCTCGTGGGGTGAAGGAAGGCGCCGCCAGCCTCCTGCCCTCCCACCCGGGCCCGGTCCGGCCTACCCTGCCCCCGCTGCCGGGTCTCCCCGAGTCCCCGCCTCGCCCTCTGTTCCCGCAGTCTGCCCTCCTGCTTCCTGACCGTCCCCTCCAACCTGTCCCGGGGTGTGGTGTGGTGGAGTAGGCCTTCCAGAAAGGGCCACGCCTCCCGTCTCCCCATTTCCTTCCCACTCTGCTTGGGCCAGCCCTCAGCGCCCCGGCTCAGGCTCCGTCGGCTCCCCCCCCACCGTACTTTGGCCACAGGATTTGTCCCCTGCCTGCTGCTCCTTGCTGGGGTATGTGAGCCGGGGGTGCAGCCGAGGGCCCAGCCTGACCCTGCAGCATTCCTGCCGCTCACGCACCTCCTCCGCAGGCACATTCCAGGCCGCCGCCCGTCCGACCTCTGTGGCCTCCCTAGGGTGCAGGGTGCTGTCAGTGAGACTACTGCCATGGCCATTCCGCAGTGACACAGTGGGGCAGCACGCTAGAGGCCCCGAGTGAGGGTGGCTGTGCATGGGATGGGGGCTGCGGGTCAGTGCTGACCCCAAAGCCTCGGGGTCCTTGCCCTGGACCTTGCCAGCGCCAGAGGTGTCTCCGGCCTCATGTGCTGTGCCTGGTCATGTGCTGGGGCTCCTCAGACTGCGCCCCGGCAGGAGGCAGATCACACCCTGTTATTCCCTGTTACGGCTGCATCTGGGCCAGGTCCCTGCGCTACCTTCCTCTGCTGCTGCCTCACTCTGTTCTGGCTTTCCCGCAGAGCTCTTGAAGAACTCGGGTCAGCTGTTGCTTATTTTTTAACTCTTCGGTGAACCTGTCGGTCCACAGGGCTTGCTCCAGTCACTGGGGGAGCTGGCTAGCACTTGCCACCCCCTCACCCCTGAGGCAGCTGCGTTGGGCAGGAGGACAGGAGTGGGTTCTTTGCGGGCTGCTGCCAGCGCCCGTGGGAATGAGGGGCTGAGCGATCTACTGTTGGAGGGAAGTGCCCTCTAGTGTTTGTTTTTATTTGAAGTCAGAATTATAGGGGTGGGGTGGGGGGGACAATTCTTCCATCTCCAATTCACTCCCTTAATGGCTGTAGTGGCCAGAGCTAAGTCAGGCTGGGTCTCCCACACGGGTGCAGGGTTTCCCAAGGCTTTGGGCCGTCCATCCTCCACTGCTTTCCCAGGCCACAGACAGGGAGCTGGATGGGAAGTGGAGCTGCTGGGACAGGAACCGGTGCTCACATGGTATACTGGTGCCACAGGTAGAGGGTTAGCCTGCTCCGCTGTTGTGCCAACCCCTCTCTGCTTGGCTAGACACGGTGGGGCCCCTAGGGTGCCCCCCACATTCGGGACCTCCAATCCCTTCTGGTCCCGTCTTCATTTTAGGGTGCACGTTCTCCAGTAGCTTCCCAAGAAGGAAGGTGTGGGAGGGTGCTCAGCGGGTGACAGTGAAGCCCAGGCCTGGCTGGGAGGGGGTCTTGGTGAGCAGGTGCTTTGGGAAGTCGCGCTCAGTGGCCCCTGGCTGCTTGTGGGAGTGTGGAGATACCCTGGGCTCGCGGGTGTTTATCCCTTTGCTGGCTTTGGGAAATCTGTGATTGGTTTTGTTTTTGCTTCCCTTGAGTTGTTTCTGGGGTGGTTTTCTCCCCAGCCCATTTCTGCATTTGGGTCTCTCACGGAGCCCCAGCTGGTTCCCTGTAGGGACGGGGCAGTCGGAGCGCTGCTGCTGCTGCTGCTGAGGTTCAGGTCCCTCCTCTCATTCTCCCCTAGTCCCCTTTTCTTCTTTCATATTTATTTATTTGAAAGATGGACGGAAAGAGGAGAGACAGACAACTTTCTCCTGCTGGCTCATTCCCCAAATGACTGCAGGAGCCAGGGCTGGGCCAGGCCAAAGCCGGGAGCCTACACCTCTGTCCAGGTCTGCCCTGCTCACCGTGCTGTCTTCCCAGGTGCGTTGTTGGGAAGCTGAGATGGAGCAGGGCAGCCAGGCTCATGCAGGTGCCCTGGTGTGGACGCTGGCTCCACCAGTGTCCGCTGAACCTCCTGCCTGCAGCCGGCCCCATCGAGCTCCTGCGGCCTGGCTACCTGGGTTCTTCCTGCGCTGTGGGTCGCCAGCTCCACCCAGTCTTCCCTTGCTGGCTGTGAGCTCAGTCTCCCGAGGAACACCCCCATCTGTTGGGGACACTTGAGGTGTGCTTTGATGCCAGGCTGTGGTGGCTCCCCAGGAACTCTTGGTCTACATGCATCACCCCCCCACCAGCTGGATGACGGCAGCTGAGGCCTCCAAGGCTTCAACGCCTGCCCCATTGCCAGATTGTCTTGCGTCCCTATGTGATGGCCTCTGCAGGCTGGCCGGCCACCCCTGGGGGAAGGAGGTCTGAAGCTTCATGCCCCAACACCCCACTTTGTCACTGACCCATTAAGGGCTGTGTCCACCTGGGCTGCCCAGGCCACCTAGTGCCTTGTGCTTTGTGCCCCATGGGTCTGTATCTCCTGAAACTCCCCTTCCTTCAGCTGGGGGTGCTGCGTTTCTGTGGAGGACGTGGGCAGGCCCCTGCCCCTAGCCGGGCGGCTTGCCTTGCTGCAGGCTGTGGCAGGGCCAGTTGCGCATCCTCCTCCCAGCACTGCCGCCTGTCTACCTGTGCGTGGCCCTCTCGCCTCCTGTTCCTCGAGGCTGGTATCCCATGTCCCTGTAGTTTCTCTTTCCAACCATAAGTCTGGAAACTTCTCTGGATTTTCCTTGGACACTGCAGGGCCTCCAACATATTCTAACACTTGAGGGACTTGGTCAGGCTGGTGAGGGAGAGCTGGGCCAGGCACCAACCCTGCGTTCTGCCTGGCCTCTGGGTTGTGGGGGTGGGGCTTTAACAGCTGGTTCCCCCCAGGTCCTTCCTCAGATCCCTGTGAAGAGTGGTGGTGCCCATGGGGCGGGGGTCCTCGGTGAGTGGCGACTCCTTCCCCTGCCCAGCCTGGGAGGGTGGGCACCAGGGACCTGGCAGGGCTGGGGGGTAGGGGACCTGTTGGAGCCAGCCTTGGTCCCCTGCCACAGGGGTGCATCTGGAAGGCCCCTTCATCAGCCGAGAGAAGCGGGGCGCTCACCCCGAGGCCCACCTGCGCTCCTTTGAGGCTAATGCCTTCCATGATATACTGGCTACCTACGGGCCGCTGGACAATGTCCGCATCGTGACGCTGGCCCCTGAGCTGGGCCGCAGCCATGAGGTCATCCAGGCACTGACGGCCCGCGGCATCTGCGTGTCCCTAGGTGAGGGGGGCCCCCAGGGTGTGCCCGCCTCTGGCTCCCAGGCCAGTGCGGAGCCTGAGTCCAGCATCCACTCGCAGGACACTCAGTGGCCGACCTGCGGGTGGCAGAGGAAGCCGTGAGAAACGGGGCCACCTTCATCACGCATCTGTTCAACGCCATGCTGCCTGTGAGTGCCACCCTGTGCTGGGCAGGGCTGGGCTGGGTCCTGCTGCCACTCAGCCAGGCCCTCTTTTGTGCCCCTGCCAGTTCCACCACCGTGACCCTGGGATCGTGGGGCTGCTGACCAGCGACCAGCTGCCCCCTGGCCGCAGCATCTTCTATGGGATGATTGCTGACGGCACTCACACCAACCCTGCTGCCCTGCGCATGGCCCACCGGGCCCACCCTCAGGGTAAGCTGCCCGTGGGTGGGCAGGAGGGAGCCCTGGGCTGGCCAGGTCCTGATCGCCCTTCTTCTCCAGGACTGGTGCTGGTCACCGATGCTGTCCCAGCCCTGGGCCTGGGCAATGGCCGCCACACGCTAGGGCAACAAGAAGTTGAAGTAAATGGGCTGACAGCCTATGTTGCAGGTAAGTGACCCTGACCCAGGACAGTGGCCTCTCAGAAGAGGGAGGTAAGAGCTTGTTGGCCCTTGCTCACCACCGGGCCTCCTGGCCTCAGCCACCATTCCAGGGGGCACACGTCCCCCCACTTTCTGCTCTCAAGGGACCAAGACACTGAGTGGCAGCATTGCTCCAATGGATGCATGCGTCCGGCACTTCCTGCAAGCTACAGGTCAGTGTGTGCAGGCAGAAGCTTGGTCTGGGAGGCGAGGTAGTGTGGGGGTTGGCGGAGGGCTGTGGCCAGACATACCATCTGCCCAGGCCTGTTGAGAGTTGGGGTGGCCGTGCAGGGGTCTGTGGAGGATGTGTATGTCCCGGGCAAGGGGCCAGGGCTGCAAAGATGCAGGCCAGGCCACAGGAGATGCCGTCAACAGTGGTCCAAGGAGTGGCTGGAGCATTGCGGGGGTCCTGGGGTGGAGAATGCTCTCTGTCCTCAAGCACAGGGTTCCCGCGGGCCTGGGGAACAAGGCTGGTGCAGAGCAGAGCTGGGGGCACAGGGAGGGCTGGGCAGGGGTCCTTACCTGTCCCCACCTCTCGAACAGGCTGCAGTGTGGAGTCGGCACTGGAGGCCGCGTCCTTGCACCCCGCCCAGCTGCTGGGACTGGAGAAGAGCAAGGGCAGCTTGGACTTTGGTGCTGACGCAGGTGTGGACCCGACCCGGGAGTACCAGGGACCTGGGGTGGCTCGGGCAGCCTAGCCCGGCTACCCTTTTCCATCAGGGCCTGGAACTCTTGGTTCAAAGTCCTCTGTGGATCCCCAGTGGGTCAGTGCGTCCTGATCTCGGGGGCGGGACTTCAGCGTAGGGGTGGGAGAGCCCTGCTGACCCCTGGTTCTGCCCCAGACTTCGTGGTGCTGGACGACTCCCTGCACGTGCAGGCCACTTACATCTCTGGTGAGCTGGTATGGCAGGCCGATGGTGCCCAGCCGTGACCCAGGACCCCGGATCGCAGCTGGAGAGGTGGGGCCAGCGTTGACACTGCTGGACAGAGGTGCCCCGCAGGACGTGCCTGTCTGCCTGTGTGGGGCATACCTGCTTGGTGTGGCACCCAGGACATAGGCAGGTGGTGCTGCCAGCTCTGCCCAGCCCTGTGAGGGTCACCTGGCTGATGCCTGAGGCTTGCCGGCTCGTGCAAGTTGGTGCAGTTGGGAGTGGGGGGCACCCCGGGAGGCCCAGGCCGGGTGGCAGTGTGAAGAGGGGCACTGCTTGCTTGCCGACCTGAGCTGATCTGGCAGTGCACAGCCCAGCTCCCAGTCCCACCACCACTTCCTGTGTGGAAAACCAAGACCCCACTGTCTGCCCTGTGTACTCTCAGCAGCTTTGTCCTCTGAGCCCACCCACGGGGTCGGCTATGCTGACCCTGCTCGTCCACCCTGCCGCTCTCTCTTCACGTCCCACACAGAAAGCCTGCCTTCCAGGCACCTCCTGGCCCCAAGGACTGCGAGGCATCAGGGGCGGACTTTGGGGGCTGGAGAGGCCGGGGCAGGGGATAACCTCCACGTCGGAGTCCTGGTGCCACCCTCGCTGCCCCATGCCAGAGAACTGGCCAACTGGTCAGAGCCTGCACCTGCACACTGCCTGAGCCAACAGCCGCAGCGCTGGAGCCCCCACGGAGCCCCCTGCCCACCTCCACCAGATGGAGAGGGGCTGCTGGGGGCAGTGAGCAGGACAGGAGAAACCCAGCAGGACATTTTTTAAAACTTGTGATAAAAATACAGATGACCAGTTCAGCCATCTGAGTAGTTTCTGAGTGTGCAGGTGTCGCTGAGTCGCGCCGCTGTGCAACCATCCCCTTCCACTTTTCCAGTCGGAAACTGGCACTTTCCCAGCTCCTGCTGTGCTGTTTCCAGGGCTATGTCACTGTCAACCTTTGGGGTGCTGGGGACCCCGGAATCCAGCAGCTTGTTGCCCACCCTCCCCCCCCGCCGTCCCGATTGTGGATGACTGCGGCCAGGACAGGCCTGGGGAGCGTGGTACCGGGTGTCCACTGAAGCGCCGGCTGGAGAACTGGGTGGGATGCAGGATGGCCGCTGTGCCATATACCTGGCGGAGGTGGCGCGGGCGCGCTCCTGTGGGGCCTGTTTAGTGCAGCGCATGCGCAGGAGGCAAGTGCGGGCGCCACCTGGCGGCCACCCCTGAACACACGTCACATGGGCGGTGGGAGGGATTCGAGTGGCGATGCCAGGGTCAAGGGGACCTGGGGCGTCCAGCGTCGCCCGCTCCCTGGGGGCCAGTCACGGTTGATGTCGGCGCGTGTCCACGCCGGGCTTGTGCGGCAGCTTGGCCCGCCTTGTCCGTTGAGTCTTCCTCTCCGAGTTGCTCCCGAGTCCCAGTGCGTGGGCGTTGTATTACCGTCTCCTGGGGTGACACTGCATTATCTGTCACTTCCAAGCCCACCGCCCGTTTGTTCAGCTGTGTCCAGAGGCGCCCTGAGCCCTGGCCCGGGACCCAGGCCCAGCAGTTGAGCGAATTAGGGATTCCTTGTCTGCCCCTTTTCATCTTTCAGGGAACCTGCCTGGCTCATCAAGGTCAGCAGATAAGGCAGAAACCTGGGATCCCTTCCTTGGCTGTCCTCCATCCACGCAGTTGTGGCCACCCGGACTCACCTGAGGCACTCCAACTGGTCCCCCTGCCACTCCCTCCATGCCGTCACCCCTTGCTCCCTCCTACAGTGTAGCTGTACTGTGGGGCTGGGGGAATGCAGCCTGAAATGGGCCTGTGTGGAGGTGGCCCTCAGAAACCAGTGCAGGCTGTGACTCAGTGGCCACTTGGCTGGAGCAGGTCCACCAGGGCCATAACCACCCCCACCCCGGAAACAGAAGATGGCTTTTCCCAGCTCACTGTGTAGACCACCAGTCTGCAGGCCCCAGCCTCTCGGGGGTGCAAGCCACGTAAGGCAGCAGTGGGCAGCGGCGGCCTCTGGGTGTCCGTCTACCCCAGTGCGCTGCCCTGGATGGAACATGACCTCACAATGTCAGACCTGAAGTCACCCTGGGGCCGTAAGCAGAGGCTGTGGGCAGGCAAGGGACAGGTGAGAGCTGGGCATGGTCTGCCCAGCCAGGTCAGCTGCCAATGGGCTGTACTGGGCTATGGGGGACCGTTTCCCTGACACCCATTGTCCTAGGGAAGGACTGCTGCGGTGAGGGGACCCGTCGGGGCCGCGTACCATCTCCTGGAGCCTCCCTCCCTCCTTCCCTGTCTCTCTGTGCATAGCTCTGTTGGGAACCTCACGGATATGTTGGAACATCCTGAGTCACTGAGCGGGGAGGCATCTGACGGCATTGCGGAGAGAGCAGTGGGGTCCGCTGGCCCACAGTCCCCACAGGTTCCGTCGGGGGAGAAGGCGGGCGGCAGAGGAGCAGCTGGGCCTGACGCCCTCACCCGAGGGCTGGGGAGCCCCCTTTCCCCTATGCCACAACAGGAAGAAAGCTGCCCTCTTGGGAGCCACTCGGGTATGTATTTGCTGTGGCAGTTCAGCTGCTTGGGATGTACTTGCGCCTGGTCCTGGTGCTACTCCACTTCTTCACGAGCTTCCTGCTGATGCTCAGCCTGGGCGCCCACAGGTGACAGCCCACCCACACGGGAGACTTGGTGAAGGTCCAGGCTCTGGCTTCTGTGTGTCAGGCTCAGCTGTTGTAGCTCTATGAAACGCTCATTCTGCTTTTCAAATGAATAAAAAAGATTACCACTTGGGGTATCTGCACTCCATGTCTGAATCCCTGGGTTTGAGTCCCACCTCCACTTCCGATTCCAACGCCCTGCTGATGCGCAGGGAGGCCCCGCCTGCACAGCCCGGTGAGTCCCGGCCCAGTGAGGCTGCTGCGGGAATCTGGGCAGCGAACCAGCAGTAGGACGGAAGGGATCTGTCTCTGACTTAAATTAAAAAACAAAAATTAAAAAGAAAAATGTGGATGCCCAAGAAACCAGTCCATGGGCGTGTAGCTGGGTGGTCTGAGACCTGCATGCCCCGCACTGGAGCACCTACCTGTGTGTGGCAGTGTGCCAACTCAGGATCCTGGCTTCCCGCAGCTGCAGCCTGGGTGGCCGGGGCGCCAATGGAGGGCTGCCTGCCTTGGGGCTGACGCAGACTCATCACCTGGCCAGCCAGGGGCTGACCTGGGCATTTGGGGACCACACAGATGACATCAGTGTCTGTGAGTCTCAAACGCTAACAAGCAACAGAAGGCAGTCTGCTCGGTGAGAGTCCAAGCCGCGGTGTGGGACGCCTTGCAGGCTCCTTCGGTCTCACGGTGTGCATGCGGCTGTGGGATCTGGAACGGGCTTCCGTGCAGCTCGCTTCTCTAACTCGACGCTGGTCTACGCTGGGGCTGCTCAGCCCGCCTCTCCTCGCAGATGGTCACTGCTCAGTAACTTCCGGGTTCAGTTTAAAGCTGTGTGGTTCTGAACGTCTTTGCCTACTTGCTTTACATTCATGAGTGAGAGCCTTAGAATTTCCAAAAAGACATGCCCTTTTCCTCCCTTTTTATTTGAATCCACTTTTAAGATGGAAAATCGTGGGTCTGGTGTGGTAGCATATTTGCTAAAGTCTTTGCCTTGTGCTGGGATCCCAAATGGGCACCACACCAGTTTGTATCCCAGCTGCTCCATTTCTGATCCAAGCTTGTAGCTTGGAAAAACAGCGGAGGACGGCCTAAAGCCTTGGGACCCTGCACCCGTGTGGGAGACCCAGAAAGGCTCCTGGCTCTGCTTTTGACTATTATAATTTGGGGAATGAACCAGCAGACGGAAGTCTTGCTATCTCAGACTTTCAAGTAAAAATAAATATTGAAGAAAAATAATTAAAAACTATTGCCTGTTACTTATGTCCTGAATATCTTTGTTTTTTAAAAAAATATTTATTCATGTGAAAGAGTTAGACAGGGATAGAGATATGTCTTTCTTTTTTTGTAGTGAACTTTTTAAAATTTTAATATTTTGACAATCTTTTAGAGACATATCTTCCATCTGTTGGTTCACTTCCCAAATTGGCTGGGCCAAGCTGAAGCCAGGAGTCTGAAACTCCATCGGGGTCTCCCACGTGGATGCAAAGGCCTGAGGACCTCGTCATCTCCCACTATTTTCCCAAGCCATTAGCAAGGCGTTGGCCTGGAAGAGCAGCCAGGACTTCACTTGACTGCCAGTTGCAAGTGATACTCAGTCTGCTATGCCATAATGCCAGCCCCTCTGTTAAACTTTAATGATATAGTTTTTTTTTTTTTTTTTTTTTTTTGGCAATTTTTTATAAGATTTTATTTTGACATTTTTTACATAGTTAATTAGGGTAAGAAGGTTCAAGGGCTACATGAAAGTGGATAATACTAGTATGTTTTCCATATTGTTACCTTCATGTTTAAAGGGGGTTATTTAAGGGAGAAGGCCCACCCAATTTCCCACCCTCCCCAGGTCCCGGATGTAGGGCATGCTCTGAGGTTCTTGCTCAAGTGGTTTTGATATTGCCACAGTCATGAATCGCTGTCAATCTTGCCACTCCAAGCACTATGAGATCTTTGAAAAATCCACTGATTGACATAGTCCATCATAGCTGAGATGGTTGCTTGACCTGTTCTGTCTTCTCTCTTTTCTTCGTTAGGGTTCTGAGTCCAGCATTTAGATTAGGAAGATCTCCAAAGAAACTTCTTGTATGTGCTAACAAGTACAGGGCCTGGCACCGTCCATCGCTCCAATCAGCTGGTGGTTGCAGTTGCTGGGTTGGTTCTGTTTTCACTCCCGACTTCCACTGGAACCAATGGGTGTTGCAGTCCAGCCTGGTTCTGCCCAGCACATACTTGGCCCTCACATAAACCAGTGGGAGCTGCAGCCTAGGTTGGAGCGACCCACAATAACCCCCACCAGACCCACTCCCTACCCTGGTTTGCCAGTAAGTGTAGCAGTAATCCAGTCTGTCCCACACCCCATTCCACCCCAGCCTCTATCTTAGTTATCTTAGTTTTATGTCCTGTGAAAGTGGTAACCCAAGAGGGATGAGCCCACTATTTCCCTCCCAGGCCTCTCCCACTCCCAGATTCCAGTTGATGCTGCGTCTAAGCCCAAACAACCCTTGCCCACTTTAATTTTGCTTGCACCAGTAGGAATAATCCGCCGAGTCCGGCTTTTCCCTGATCTGGTCCGCATGAGGCGCACAGGTGTGGTAGCTCTGCCCAGTCTGGTCTGCCCCCATCCCAGCCCATGCTCTCCTGCGGAAGTAGCTGTCCTGCAAAGGAACCCTCCCTTATTCCCCTGCCGGCTCTGCCCACTTCCTTCCTTGTTCTCAGGCTGGTAGGGCGCTGCGGTCGCTTCCGGTACAGGCAACCTCACCTCGGCATTCCATAATGTGCACTAGTCTTTGTTGCGACCAACCCTAGGTCGGCCCACACTGGTGCCTGGATTTGCCAGTGGATAATGTGGACAGATTCAGCCTGGTCTTGCCCCCACATCAGCCAATTGTATGCCAGTGGGTAGCTTTCCATGGCCTTTTCTGGGCTGTTTCCTATCATGTTTCTTGCGTTTACCTGCCGGGTCTGTGTCCTGCCAGAGGAGTTGCTCAGGCTCCTCCATCAGAACCTCTCCCAATGCCAGGTTTCACGCTTACCAGTGGGTCCATGAGCCAACCCTACTCAGTCCACCTCCTGTAATAACAGGAACTGTGGCTTTTCCTGTCTGGCCTTCCACCCAATCTGGTTCTTGCTGTTGGATGTTCCAGCCCAGCCATGGTTTGTCTATACCCACATATGGCTCACACATGGCTCAGTAGGGGTTTGAGACCCTGCCTGGTCCATCCCACATCTGCCCTGGTCCTCCAGAACACCAGGGGGAGTCGGGGTCCGGCCCGGTTCGGTGCATCCAATCCCAGTCCACACTTGTGCCAAGGGAGACTACAACTGTTTCCAGATCAGAACGCAGCTCCCCTAATGATATAGTTTTTTAAAAAAAGATTTATTTATTTTTATTGGAAGTCAGATATACAGAGAGGAGGAAAAGCAGAGAGGAAGATCTTCCATCCACTGATTCACTCCCCAAGTGACTGCAACGGCCGGTGTTGTGCCGAACTGAAGCCAGGAGCCAGGAACTCTTCCAGGTCTCCCACATGGGTGCAGGGTCCCAATGCTTTGGGCCGTCCTCAACTGCTTTCCCAGGCCACAAGCAGGGAGCTGGATGGGAAGTGGAGCTGCCGGGACTAGAACCAGTACCCATATGGGATCCCAGCACGTTCAAGGTGAGGACTTTAGCCGCTAGGCACGCCGCCAGGCCCTTGATATAGTTTTTTAAAGAAGATTCATTTCAAAGGCAGAGCTGGGAAGGGTAACATGTTTGTATATGTGTGCAGGTATATGTGTATACCCCATCTGCTGGGTCACTCCTCCAATGTCTGAGAGTCAGGGTTAGGCCAATCAAAAGCCAGGCGCTTCATCCAGGTCTGCCCTGTGAGCACGGGGGGCCCCAGGCCTTGGGCTGTCTTCCACTACTTTCCCAGACACACTGGCAGGGACCTGGATCAGCGGGGGGCAACTGGGACTTGAACCGACGTCCCAGTGGGATGCTAGCGTTGCAGCACGGCGGCGCAGCATCACTGGGGTGGGCTCATCTTCTGTGCTTCTGCCTCCTGCCGCTGCACTGGGACGGCCCTGGGGGATCTCCACTGTGAATCCCTTGTTGGACTGGAAACACACTCCTGGGCCTTCACTGGTCTGCTCACGGCTGCTCTTGGGGAGGCACCTCCTTGCGTGGCTTTCTGAGTGAGGGTGTGCCTGACTCAGAGCCAACTATAGAGTCACCTGTGTGCGTCATGCAGCCGAATACACTTCATTTCTAGAATGAGGGTGAGCTGGAGTGAGAGAAAGCGCTTTGCACCCACTGGTTCACTTCTGCCATGTACACACTAGCCATGACTGGGCCAGCGACTCAATCCAGGCTGTCATATGGTAGCAAGGCCCCAAGGCCCTGAACTGCCCCTGCCGTTTCCCAGGGTCGGCACTGGCCATAGCCAGGGCTAGACTCCCGTTATTCTGATCCAGAGCAGTTGAGACTCGAACTGACGCCCGTCTGGAAAGCCAGCACTCCAGGCTGAGGTCCTACCCAATAGACCACAGCACCAAGTCCTGTCTGGTAAAAGTTTTGACATGGATGTGAATATGACCTATTTTATAAAGCTGTAATGCAAAGTAAATTGCAAAAGTGTCCAGCATTATCTTACTGTGTGAGCACAAAATAAACATAAGCAGAGGCTGTGGGGAGGGGCACCAGAGTTGGGCAGCACCGCGTTGTCCCCTATCGGCAGAGATCATGGGCCTGGCGCTCATGCCCAAGCAGTCCCCTGGCCCTGGTTGTCTGGGGGACACGAGCAGCAGTTCCAGAAGCCGGAGGGGGCTCGGCGTGCTGCCCAGAGCTGGTGGTCACCCTGGGCTTCGCCGTGAGCATGGAGGGTGAGCAGGTGAGCCGAAACAGCCTTCTTGGAGTGAGCACGCGACCTGGCAGCCCACCACGCTACTGTTCATCCTATGGAACAAAGCTGCAAGGCCTCTGCTCAGGAGGGAGCCACAGCCGAGGCTGGGGATGGTTCCAGAGTTCCTTAGGAGAGAGCTTGGCCCGGGGAGGGGGGGGCGCCCAAGCACTGCTTCTGGCCTCAGGTAGGATGTCAGAGTCTGGAGCTGCGGTGGAGAGGCAGTGGCCACAGGAGGGCACATTGTCAACAGAAGGAGCCAGGGCCAACAGGCATCAGGGCCTGAGCCCGGCACGGGTGGTGCTGCACCTGCCCTGCTAAGACGGGGGCGTGCCTGGGTCCCAGTCCTGCCCACACAGCCGTGGGCAAGTGAAGCAACTGTCCCATGTCTCAGTTGCCTCCTTGGAAAAGTGGGGTAACAATATCAGGTGTCCCCTACAGGAAAGTACTGAGTAAATGTTAATGCCTGTTCCTTTTCTTGTTTTTAAGATTCATTTATTTTTGTTCGAAAGGCAGATCTGCAGAGAGTACAGAGAGAAAGATTTTCTGTCATCTGGTTCTATATTCCTTTTGGAAATAGAAAAAAAAAAAAAACCCAAAGACACCTTGTTTAAAAATAGATGAGAGCAGGGGTGTGTTGTGGTATAGCTTGTTAAGCTGCTGTCTGCTACCCTGGCATCCTATATGGGCATTGGTTCAAGTCCTGGCTGTTCCTCTTCTGATCTGATTCTGGACTCGATAAGGCAGCGGAAGATGGCTCAAGCGCCCAGGCTGTTGCAACCATTTTGAGGAGTGAACCAGCAAGTGGAAGCTCTCTCTCCCTCTCTAATAGGGAGACATTGGTGGCAGTGCAGCTTAAACTACCACCAGTGACCGCAGCAATCCAAACGGCGTTGCTCCATTTCTGACCCAGAAGGTGGCCCAAGCACTTGGGCTGCACCCACAGTGCCTGGCTCCCCGTCCGGCCGTTGACCATCTGGGAAGTTGGACCAGTGGGTGGACAATCTCCCCCTCTGTGTAACTGTTTCACGTAAGTCAATCTTCCAAAACAAAATGCACACGCAAAACACAAGGCTTTGGGTCAAACCCGACAGTCGCTGTGCGAATGGACTGTAGCCTGAACTGTACCTGCAACCTGAGTGTGGGTGCCGCGGTCAAAACAGCATCATCCGCATAGAAAGAGGAACCCCCGGCCCTGGCGGGACGGGTGCCGAGGGTGTCCCTGCGACAACGGAGCGAGAAGCGCTGCTTCGCTGCTTCATCCAGGGCTTGAAAGTCCCAGTTTTCCTTCTGCAAACATTCACGACTTCGGAAACCGGCCAAGGGGCGCTTCTCGGGGTCCGCACCGCGGGTTCGAGCCCCGGCCGCGCCGCTCCTCGGGTACGAACTCTGGACCTTGGGGGCGCCCCCCGCCCCGAGCCTCGGCCTCCCGGCCGGGGTGCCGACGCGACAGGGTGACAGGCAGCCCCGCCCCGCCGGGCCCGGCATTGGCTCGCCCGGCGTCCCCGTCCCACGGCGGGGCAGGGCCGGCTCGCGGCCGCCGAGCCCGAACCCGGAAATGCGGCTCCGCAGGTGCGGGGGGAGGGGGATCCGCGCGGGCGCCGCGGAGCGACGTCGCGGCCAGCCAATGCGCGTGGGCGGCTGCGGCGGCGCTGCGGAAGTCCCGCCCGGCGTGGCGCGGGGGCGGGGCGGCGCCGGGGGCGGCGGGCGCAGGATGAGGGCGGCCATTGCTGGGGCTCCGGCGCGGGGCGGAGGACGCTGAGGGGGCGCCGGAGGCTGGGCGCCGGCGGGGGCCCATGGCCAGGACCACCAGCCAGCTGGTGAGTGCTCGGCGGCGGCGGGCGGGCCGTTAGCTCCGGCCGGGCCGCCCGCCTAGGGTCCCCGGGGCCGGGCGGAGCCTTGGCTGCCTCGGCCGGGCCGCGCTCGCTGCTCGGCCTCCCCGGGCCGTCCCGGGTCGTGGCGCCGGCCGGGCCGCGCGGGGAGGCCTGGAGGTGTCACCGGGCCAGGCGGGGTGGCAGTGCCTGGAAAGTTTGTTTCCGAGTCGGCGCGGCCTCTGCTCTGGGGCTCGCCTCGCGTCCGGTGTGCCGAGGAGCCGGCCGGAGCAGCACCTGATGCTCCGGGCGCCTGGCCGGTGGCCCCTTCCTGCTGCGCCCCGGGGAGGCTTGGGGAGGTCGGGCTGCAAGCGTCGCCCAGGGCGAGGGAGATAGCAGATAGAAGGGACCTTGCAGGCAAAAGACCCAAACAGAGCGGCCGTTGGTTGAGTCCGAGTCACACGCTGTCCTGCCAGGGGCCCCCAGGGGTCTCTGGTTTCCCGTGTTGCTGTCTCTCGGGGTGGTGATGTTTTCCTTGGGTGAACTTCCTGGAGTCTTGGGAGATGGTTGAACTCGAAGGTTCAGACCTTGGGCGGTGGGTGCTGGAAGAATGGGAGGCTGCAAAAGGCAGAGCCCCGCAGACGGGCTGACTTCCTAGCCTGCAGGCGCTCGGCCTCCTCGTGTGGGGGCTGTGGGCGCAAGTCTGAGTTCTCCTTGAGCCCCACAACTCATCCTGGGAATGACTGACCCGGAGCCTGCTGGGTGGAGGGCTTGCCCTGAGGGAGGTAGTGCTGGGCCGGGAGCCCCAGGGTGCATGGGGCTGCACTGTGGGTGGAGGGACCCATACAGCTGTCTGCAGCTTCTCACTGAGCAAGCTTGGGCGTGCAGGGAGCAGAAGTGGGTTTTGAGGGGCAAGCAGCCCTCCCCAGGAGGAAGTGAGTGCTGTGGCCGTGAGCTGGGGTCCCTACATAGGTTGCCTAGCCTGGGCTTTTTGCTCCGGGACAGACGGACTTGCCCACAGACGTCGGGGTGCTGCTGCCGGCCTGCAAGAACCCTGGGGCCTCTGCATTTGTGACTGTTCAGGCGTCCGGGAGCTATGTGCACTGTGCGGGGAGGCGGTGGGCTGCTCCCACTTCCTGAGGGGCCAGTCTGTGAGCTGTAGGTGCTGAGGGAGGCCCCTCCTGGGTACCGCAGGGAGAGGTGGGCTGTGCCTCACACGGGAAAGACCCGGTATCACCTGACTTGTCCTTGGTCTCCAGTGCCTCTGCCCAGGCCCCTGCATTGGTCCTGCGTGTCCTGATGGCCGGCTGGGGCAGGAGGTGTGTGTCTGTAGGCAGTTGGCTCAACTCGGTGACTGCTGGCCGCTCAGAAAGCCGTCAGCCAAGAGGCTCCGCCCTGTTCCTGGGGGGATCCGGACCTTGCTTGGGGAAAGGCAGCATGTTTTGGATTCGCTGGAGGGTAGAGCTGGGGATGGGCAGTGTGGTTGCCTGTGGAGGGACATACCGAGTCCTGGGAAGTGGAGCAGGTGTGTCTGTCCAGGGTGTCAGCAGCGGTGCTCAGCTGGTCCTGATGCTGCTGTGAGCTGCTTGGGAAGTGGTCCTCTCTCCAAGGCAGATGGGGCTCCCAGCTGTGGTTTTAGACAGGAGAAGCTGACGGCTGCTCCGGCAGGTTGGGGGTGCTTGTGGGCAGCTGAGTGGCCCTCCTGAGGGACAGAGTTGGCCCACGTCGGTGGGCTGGCAGGCATTGCTGGGGCGAGGGGTGAACAAGGCTGGTTGCCTTGGAGGTGACGCATTGGGAGGATCGTGGCCCCTTGTGAGGCCCTTGGTGTTTGTAGAGGGTTTGGGTAAGGATAGATCTCTGGGGAGTCGCCGTTGCTGCTGAGACAGCGGGTGCCCCTGCTTGGTGGGGGGAGTGTGGCCTTGCTGTGCGGACACGGTGTCAAAGGGTGGTTTTCCCGGGAGGAAGTAGCTCTGTGGAGAAGAGTTTTGTGCAGGAATCATCAGGTGTTCCCGGCGGTGTGTTGTGCGTTTCAGGAGACCCAGGGCTTTAATAGAGAGGATGGGTGATGTTCGGTGTCCAGCCGTCATGTCCCAGGCTTCTGGGCTTCCTGACGGCTATCGGGGTGTGACCATGTGGCTGCACAAAGTCTGTTTCCATCCTTTCAGTCTAGAACATTTTCCTGGTGTTGTAACTGAAACTTACTCCTAGAAGTGCTGGGCCATTTGGAATGTGTTCATTTATAGGGTTGAGTCTGTGAGTGCACTTGGGGTGCAGAGTTGTGTTCAGGAGTCACTGACAGTGGACTTGAGTGGCCCTGGCAGGGCGAGCAGGCATGAGCTTTCTCTCGGGGCTTTGCATAGGCCAGGGAAGGTGGGCACGTGGCTCCTGGGGCGCCCGGTGGCTTTCTTTCCACAGGCACGGTGAGGTGCCTGCTGTGTGGCCACTGTACTGGGGAGTGTTTCAGAGGGGCCTGCAAGGAAGGGCAGTGTGGGAAGGCGGGTCTGCGTGCCAGGGCTGGGCTGCCTGCCTCTGTACTCACTCCTGCTTACTGGTGAGCGGCTTCTTATAAAAGGTCCACTCTTGAGCCTGTTGTTCTCTTTTGGAATTTATTTTGTTTATTTATTTATAATGATAGATTCGTTTTATTTTTGATGATGTTTGATGATGAGAAGGATGCCTGCCCATTGCGAACCACCAGTCATGATGGGAAGAGGCCAGGAGTGAGGGAATGTGGGAGAGACTACTGCTTCCAATTTTCCTGTCTCTTCCTGTTTCTGGGGAAAGAGGAGAGCGAGACGAGGATGGGGCCGCTCCCAGCAACCTAACCACAGCAGTACCCGAGGATGTGGGACAGCCACTCGATGTCATCGTCTGGGTCCTCACTTGGAGCCTGTCCCCAGGTGCTGCTTCAGTGGTTCAGTGGTTCTGAGATGGTGGTGCTTGCTTCCGAGGTGAGGAAATCCTTCCAGGTCTACTGGCTGATGTCATCCACTTGAGTCTCCACTCATCCACATGCTTGCTGCTGGCCCTTAGCTGGGCGAGCTGTCCAGTTTGCTCTGCCTTCCATCCGCTGCAGGATCTGTCTTGTCCCCCTGTGCAGTCATTGCACAGGCTTCAGTGACTGAGGAGACCACAGAGCCTGGGAGCCCAGGAGTCCAGTTAAGGCTGGGAGTGCCCAAAGAAACCTCGTCAAAGGGGACCCAAACTGGACTCCTGTGTATGCCACTTTTGATCTAGTTCCATGTTAGTGGCCTGGAAGAAGCAAGAGTAGATGGCCAGGGCCCAGCGCTGCAGTCTAGTGGCTAATGTCCTTGCTTTTTTTTTTTTAAGATTTATTTTATTCTTATTACCAAGTCAGATATACAGAGAAGAGGAGAGACAGAGAGGAACATCTTTCCTACAATGATTCTCTTCCCAAGTGAGTGCAACTGCCGGTGCTGTGCCAATCTGAAGCCGGGAACCAGGAGCTTCTTCCAGGTCTCCCACACGGGTGCTGGGTCCCAATGCTTTGGGCCGTCCTTGACTGCTTTCCCAGGCCACAAGCAGGGAGCTGGATGGGAAGTGGAGCTGCCGGGACTAGAACTGGTGCCCAAATGGGATCCTGGCGTGTTCAAGGTGAGGACTTTAGCCACTAGGCCACGCCACTGGGTCCAATGTCCTTGCTTTGTATGTGTCGGGACGCAATATGGGTTAGTATCCCAGCTGTTCCACGTCCCTTCCAGCTCCCTGCTTATGGCCTAGGAAAACAGGGAATAATGACCCAAAGTGCTGGGCCAGGATCTCTGTGGGAGACTCTGGGGAAGCTAGGAAAGCTCCTGGCTTTAGATTGGATCTACCCCAGCTGCTGCTGTGACCACTTGGGGAGTGAACCAGTGCATGGAAGCTCTTTCTCTGTCTCTCCTCTCTGCTGTGGTTGGTAGGGGAGGTTGGGATCCTCTCTCTTGGTATCCTGGGGACGCGTCCTGCAGTTGGCCCGTATGTGCTGATGGGCTTGGGCCGCAGCCCGTGCCCTGCGGCTGTGTGCAGGCCTCCTCGGGGATGTGGTCTGGGACCTGTTGTAGCAGAGGCCCTCAGCAGTGCTGGGAGCGGGCACTGCCCTTGCTCCCTCCTGGCCTGTCACCTTGGCCCGCACTCTGCCCTGCACAGCCGGGGAGGACGCCCCGTTGTCCGTGGCTGCCCTGTTCCCCATTTCTTGTTCTCTCTGATCTTCCTCGCTGCCTGGAAACCCCCAGGAGGGTGTACTTTTCTGACCAGCCCACTCGCTGGCGGCCTGCCTGGTCCCCTGTGGTCTGTAGCACACCGTCCTGGGTGTCTCTGTCCCGTTTGTCCGCCTGTGACGCCCTGGACCGCACAGCCCAGAGTCTGGGGACGACTGTTGCTTTCCGTGCTTTCACCTCAGGTTCTCATCCCTGGGCCTCCTGTGGAGTGTTGGTCTTTGATTATTGAGAAACGCGGCCCTCTCCAGATCTGGGGCTTACTTGCCTCCTCCTACATTTAGTCCTTTTTTTTTTAATATGTGATTTATTTGGAAGGCAGAGTGGCATAAGGAGACACACACACACAGATTTTTTCCATTCACTGATCACTCCCTAAGTGACCCAGAACTCCATCCAGGTCTCCCACATGGGTGACAGGGGTCCACAACTTGGGCCATTCTGCACTGCTTTTGCAGAGCCACCTGTGACTCAAACCAAGACCTCAGCTGGTGTCACTGGTGTCAGGAACCCATGTGCCACAGTGCGTGCCACAGGGAGAGAGAGATGGACACGCACACAGGCACCTTCCACCGGCTGCTTCATTTCCCTGATGCCCACAGCAGCCGTGCTGGGCTGGGAGCCGGCAGCTGCCTCCCGTGTTTGCGCCATTCCCTGCTACTTTTCAGGGTCAGCAGGAAGTTGGGTCTGAAGCAGAGCAGAGTTTCAGATCTGGTCCTCAAGTGAGAGGCACAGGTGTCCCAAGCAGCATGCTGACCGTGGGCCACAGCGCCAGCCTCTTGATGCCCACTTATA